ACACCAGGCCTCTTCTACAGAATCAAACAAATGGGAAGGCTTGAAGATCCCACTGACCACATGTCACCTGTCTGTAAATATTGGTCATTCTATGTAGGCCTGTCACACATGGAGATGATTGCAACACCTATGGGTATAACACCTTTTGTAGATGCCTACCCACTTTCCTATCTCTGTCATCACCTTCCCTGACATGGATGCAACCAGCAACTGCCCACCTTTCCAGAATGCTTCCTAGTATGATTAGAAGTTCAAATTATACCCTCATGTCTTAATAAGAGCTCGGTTGTGAACTCTTTACTACTTGTCTTATAGTCCGGTGCTCAAACTTTGCCCACGGATATTCATGCAGAGTCGGAAATCATTCACTGAATAGAAACAAAATGATGATGTCTAGAAAACAAGCAGATGTAGTTAGGGGCAAACGTTTTGGCTGGACAGGCAACAAGGGGCCTCTTCTTATACCTGCTACTCTTTAAACCTCAGGCAGGCAGACAGCTGAGGCATAGATCTGGTTTATGCATTGTTCAGGTTGGCCAGTCTTGACTGTGAAATTGACTAAGCAGTTGTGATTGGCTAGTTCAGCAAGCCAATCTTCCCACAATTGTCTTAACAAATGAAGGCTTAGCTGAAAGTTTAATAGAATGAAATGCATCTGGCTAACTTTGTGTGAAGAAATGGGAAGGTGTCTTGTAGAGCAGAGTTTCCCAACCTTTTCCAGCACAAGGCACACTTACATAAATAAAAATTTTCCACAGCACACCTGTTAAGGCATCCCCCATCATCCTACCTATTGTAGCTCATTGCCACAGCAAAATTCCACAGCACACCTATTAATTTCTATTGGCACACTTTTGTGCTGCGGCACACTGGTTGGGAAACACTGTTGTAGAGACTGTGAAATTGTATTTACATTTAGACAAATTATTTTCTGTCACCAAGGTAATGTTCTTAACAAATATATCTACTGTAACAGGATATGCAAATGTGGCTATGCTACTTAAGTCTCCCATTTGTGGCACTCTGTCATCTCCCTTTTGAAAAAAAACAATTGTGATATTAGATCTGAGTTTGATAGTCATGAGTACCTTTCTGAAGTTGGATCGTGTTATGTGAAGGAAAATGGAAAATGAAGTATGATTTATATAGCAGTTTGGCCAAATTGCTCTTATTAGATGGAAAAATACATTTATTGAATGCATCTAGGCTGGAATTAGCTCTTCAGTGATGATGATGAATGCTTGCAGCCTTATAAACACACTTGAACATTAAGTTGCTAAATTACTGTACCATTTTGAGATTGATTATTAAGTTTGGCCATGTCAGCTTCCCGACCCACACATCCATCCCAAAGACTGCCTACATTCTGAAGCCTACTTAATGCGCTTTTTTTCTAATTAAACTTTTATTGAATTTTCTTCCCCTTTTAATACTTGTTTTGATTCTCTTATGCGCAGATGACAAAAGCCTTGCACCAGCCATGTGATTCTCTATTTTAGAACAGTCCCACTTTGCAGGATTAGCCATTTTTAATGACTTTAATCTCCTTTTTGAAAGTGATTTTTCTCATTCTGTTACATTCCTTTGATTGCATTAATGTAGAATTATTATTCCATTGGAAAAACCATCATTGCCAGACATGTCATACCACATCTCACGAATATCTTCCCAGTGTAAAATACTTTAGGAAAATTACCTAGAATTTTTTCTGGGTTCATTATTAGCCTTTTCCTCAATTTAAATAAGCAAGTTAAAATAAACAAGGTTATTTCTCATTCCACAAAGAGATTAATGATAATGAGTTTCCCCTAATTTCTTCAGTTTTAGTCTTTGGATACACACACTAATGTTTCATTTGTCTAGAAATTTAGGTAGATTGTGCATAGTGTTGCATTTTTAAGCAGTTTTCTAATTACTTCTAAATTGTAAAAGTCAGACAAAGAAATATATTGAAACAAAACCGGAAGTCAAACACTTAATTCCACAACATTTCCAAATTGCACTGTAAAAATAAGGCAGTCCAGCTTTCAACTTTTCAGTGTAAATTATTCTGTTTTTATCATACATTCAGCTTTCCAACATGGAAAATGTGATTTTACTTGAATCCAAATGAATTGTCTCATAGCACTTATATTGTATATCATTCACAAATACCAGCTTTCTTTAGTATTATATTTTTAAATAGTCCAATATGCTTGGAAGAAGGGAATTGCTACTTTTGGGGTTGACTCTTTCCTAAGTGTCCACTTCTTACATTTTGTGATTGATTTGGATGAGGTAATGGACCAACTTCACTGCTGGCAAAAGCACATACAATTGAATTCAATTAATGGTGTCCTACTGGGTCAAGGTAACACTGAATTTGGTGTGTTAAATCTACAGGTTTGAAAAGCTGAACAGTGAAACCGATTTATTCATTAAAGTAGTTTCAATTTTGTCTGAATTTTTCCCCTCTTTGTTGCCCTTTTTAATCATTTAGGTCCTTATACTAATACTAAGACAACAATAACAAGTTGCTGCTATGAAAAACTCATTCTAAAATATACATATTTAAAATGTCTTCTATGTGTACACACATGCTTCAGAGTGTATATGTGTATATGTTTGTGTGAACATATACATGTATAGAGAGAGAGAAAGAGAGAGAGGGTGTATACATACAAGACATTTTAAATATATATATTTTAGAATGGGTTTTGCATAGTAGCAACTTGTTATTGTTTACACAACAGCCAGTTAATTTATAGGGTAGCAAACAGTGTAATCCTTTTTTTTCCAGTAGAAAACAAGGTAGTGTTAGCAAATTCACCATGTGCTGCCCTACTTCAGGCCCAAGCATCCCCTCTGTCCCTTTTGTCTCCTTTCCCCATGAGGAGCCCAGCTGGCGTGAGCTGGGAATTAGCGAGCAGTGATCTACCGGTACCTCCCCACTGAATCTAATCCAAGAAGCTGGCAGCCAGCTGAATCCTTCCAGTCAGAAGGGCCCATTAATGCAAGTCCCTAGGGAAGCTGGCTCTCCTTTGCTTAGGGAGGGAACCCCTGTGAATGTGGCTGACATCAGAGTGAGAGGGAGAGAAAGGGAGGGAGGCAGCTCAGGATGTGGGGCAAACCTGAGTCTATGATATGGCACACAGGAGCGTACAACTGAGTAGGTTTAAACCTTGAGTGTGAGATTTGATTACTGATACAAACAAAAAAGAGAGCACATGAGACAGAGAGAGAGAGGTGGGAAAAGGGAGAGAGATTGGGTTGTGTTAGTTGTTCAGTACAAGTAGTTTAAAAAATAAGTGTATCAATAGATGCAATGTTTTGTAATGCTCAGACTGGGACAGGCTCTTAGAGTTTTGCGTAATATGTGTCCATTGAATGTCTGTAAACTGTGGTTGCTTGCTGAAAGGTATAAGGGCATTTCTGTAATGAACTTAAAATACTGTATTCATGTCTTCAGTCATTTTTGGAGTAGCTGATTTGGATATGATCAGATGAAGATGGTATAGTAGTACTGTATGAAAGGAGAAGGATATCTTCTGGTACAAATTTGTTCTAGAAAAGATGTGACCTTTTTTGCTAGATAAGTTGGTTTGCACAGGATTTTTTTTTTTTTTTGTATTCTTTCATTGATTTTTTTTTATATAGAGTAACAGAAATCCGTGTTTTTCTGGGGTAAAGAGATAGCCTTCTGATAAAGAAAACTTACGTTCTTCAACCGGCAATATCCTCATTAAGTGAGCTCTTTGAAAGCTACTCTACTGTACATGTGCTCTTATTGGACTGGTGACTATTTAATTGGCAGACAAGTGACTGTGTGGCAGTTTGCCTGCACAGTTAGGGTTTTTTTTTATTGGTTTGGGGGTTTTTTTTAAGCTAGAACAGGATGATTAAAAGTTTAAGAATGCTAAATGGCTTTGGCAAAATAGGTCCTTTTTGAATTTCCAAACATACGTATATCTGTGATCATATGTATGGTCAGAGTCTCCCTCCTTTCCCTCATTTTTGCTAGATTTACCTCAGGATTCTTTCATGGTTCAGTATGGTATTCAACTAGCAGCGTATTCACTTAATTCAATGTTTTCAGCCGGCTCTGTAGAATGAGTATATCTGCATTTATTTTATTCTCTTTTCTGCTAACAGTTGAGATGGTGAAATATGACAAAACTGTATTATTTCTTTAAAATGACCATTCTGCAGTTGGAAATGACTTTGTTTTTTTTTATGGTAGAACTGGTTTATAAAATATTTTGTCAAGTTTCAATTTAGGGTAAAAGAAGTATCATTAAGGAGTAGGCTGTGCTGTTTTGTTCTTGAAGTTGGTTGTCTAGTGGATGATTTGAAATCTCCAAAGAAGACTGTTAGTCTTTTTGCTATAATCAGACAACATTGCCTTCCTAAACCAATGAATACTATAACAATTCAAATTTCTTCTTAGATTTGGCTGAGCTGTCTCAAACCTGTCACTTTTTAACTTCACATAGATATTGGACTCTGTTTGCTTTTTCTAAATGTAACTGCTTTTTGTGCAGCCTTTAAATATGTTTCAGTTTTGAAGTAGAAGTGAAAAGATTTTGTTTAATGGAGACATTACTTATAATCATTTTGATATATCATTTAAAAACCCTACAAAATCACAGTTGATCACTTAGTGCTGTAGCTCTTGGTAATGTTTGTATTGCCTTGCTGCACACTGTATTTTGTTTTCTGTATTCATTGTTTATTGCTTTACAGTGCAGTGAGCAACTGTTAAACCTGCTAAAGAAAAATGCTTTATATAAATACTCTATGTTGGCATATTCATAAATTGCATTTACAATATGTACTTTTCTTCCTTTTTTTCCTAACATCCTTTAAAATTCAAGAGACGTTTATCTTTCCTTTTTTTGTTCAGCAGTTAATTTTTTTATACTGTAGTAACAGCAGCCCATAGTGTTGTTGAGAGGCTTTGTCCTTATTTCACAGATGCACTGGGAATTGTTTTTAATCTCCTTTCTGCTTTCCCATTACAGATGGTGATGACGACCCACAACTCTCCTGGGTGGCTTCATCTCCCTCCAGCAAAGATGTTGCATCACCCACTCAGATGATAGGAGATGGGTGTGATCTCGGCATCGGGGAGGAGGAAGGGGGGACTGGCCTGCCATATCCCTGTCAGTTTTGTGATAAGTCCTTCATTCGCCTGAGCTACCTTAAAAGGCACGAGCAGATCCACAGTGACAAACTACCTTTCAAATGCACCTATTGTAGCCGGCTTTTTAAGCATAAGAGAAGTAGGGATCGCCACATAAAGCTTCACACAGGGGATAAAAAATATCATTGCCATGAATGTGAGGCAGCCTTTTCTCGCAGCGACCACCTCAAAATTCATCTGAAAACTCACAGTTCCAGCAAGCCGTTCAAGTGCACTGTCTGTAAGCGTGGGTTTTCCTCCACCAGCTCATTGCAGAGTCACATGCAAGCTCATAAAAAGAACAAGGAACATATGGCAAAGACTGAGAAAGAGGTGAAGAAGGATGATTTTATGTGTGATTACTGTGAAGAGACATTCAGTCAGACTGAAGATTTGGAGAAGCACGTAATGATGCGCCACCCACAGCTTTCTGAGAAGGCAGATTTGCAGTGTATTCATTGCCCTGAAGTATTTGCAGACGAAAACTCACTTCTTTCCCATATTCACCAAGCTCATGCCAACAAAAAACACAAGTGCCCTATGTGCCCAGAGCAGTTTTCTTCAGTGGAAGAAGTCTATTGCCATTTGGATAGCCACAGACAACCTGATTCCAGCAACCACAGTATCAGTCCTGACCCAGTCTTGGGGAGTGTGGCATCCATGAGCAGTGCAACACCTGATTCGAGTGCATCGGCAGAACGAGGATCTACACCAGACTCAACTCTAAAACCTTTGAGAGGACAAAAGAAGATCAGATCAGTGGAGAGAGAGGAAGGCCAGAATTGGTCTAAAGTCACTTACAGCTGTCCCTACTGTTCCAAGCGTGACTTCAACAGCCTTGCTGTCCTGGAGATACATTTAAAGACCATTCATGCTGACAAACCTCAACAAAGCCACACGTGCCAGATCTGCCTTGATTCCATGCCTACTCTATACAATTTGAATGAACATGTGAGAAAGGTACACAAAAACCATGCATATCCCATGATGCAGTTTAGCAACATTTCTGCCTTTCACTGTAACTATTGTCCTGAGATGTTTGCGGATATTAATAGCCTTCAGGAACACATCCGCATCACTCACTGTGGTCCAAATGCTACCCCTCAAGATGGTAACAATGCCTTCTTCTGTAACCAGTGCTCCATGGGCTTTCTAACTGAAGCAACCTTGACTGAACATATTCAGCAAACTCACTGCAATGTAGGAAATTCAAAATTGGATTCCCCTGTCATTCAGCCAACACAGTCTTTTATGGAAGTTTACTCATGCCCTTATTGCACAAACTCCCCCATTTTTGGCTCCATCCTGAAGCTTACAAAGCATATTAAAGAAAACCACAAGAACATTCCTCTGGCACACAATAAGAAGTCAAAAGCAGAGCAGAGTCCAGTTTCTTCTGATGTTGAAGTCTCTTCCCCTAAAAGGCAGCGGCTTTCTGCAAGTATAAATTCAGTTTCTAATGGAGAATACCCATGTAATCAGTGTGATCTAAAGTTCTCTAATTTTGAAAGTTTCCAAACTCATTTAAAGTTGCATTTGGAGTTGCTTTTAAGGAAACAGTCTTGCCCTCAGTGTAAAGAAGACTTTGATTCCCAGGAGTCTCTCCTGCAGCACCTCACAGTACATTACATGACGACTTCAACCCATTATGTATGTGAGAGCTGTGACAAACAGTTTTCTTCAGTGGATGACTTGCAGAAGCATTTGCTGGACATGCATACTTTTGTATTGTATCACTGCACCCTTTGCCAAGAAGTTTTTGATTCCAAGGTATCTATCCAAGTACATCTGGCAGTAAAGCATAGCAATGAAAAGAAGATGTATCGTTGTACAGCCTGTAATTGGGACTTTAGGAAGGAGGTAGACCTTCAGATCCATGTGAAGCACAGCCATTTGGGTAATCCAGCAAAGTCACACAAGTGCATCTTTTGTGGTGAGACCTTCAGTACAGAAGTAGAACTACAATGCCACATCACAACCCACAGCAAAAAATACAACTGCAAATTCTGCAGCAAAGCTTTCCATGCCATCATCTTATTGGAAAAACATTTGCGGGAGAAACATTGTGTGTTTGATGCTGGTGCAGAGAATGGTACGGCTAATGGCATGACACCAACGAACAAGAAGACGGAAGCTGCAGATATTCAGAACATGTTGATGAAGAATCCAGATACATCCAATAGCCATGAAGCTAGTGAGGATGATGTAGATGCATCGGAGCCTATGTATGGTTGTGATATCTGTGGAGCTGCCTACACCATGGAAGTTCTTTTGCAGAACCATCGTTTGAGAGATCATAATATCAGGCCTGGGGAGGATGATTGTTCTAGAAAGAAGGCAGAATTCATCAAAGGTAGCCACAAATGTAACATCTGCTCAAGGACCTTTTTTTCAGAGAATGGTCTGAGAGAGCATATGCAGACTCACCGAGGTCCAGCCAAGCACTACATGTGCCCCATTTGTGGGGAGCGTTTCCCATCACTGCTGACTCTGACAGAACACAAAGTCACTCACAGCAAAAGTTTGGATACAGGAACATGCAGGATCTGCAAAATGCCACTGCAGAGCGAGGAGGAATTTATTGAGCACTGCCAGATGCACCCAGATCTCAGAAACTCCCTCACTGGATTTCGCTGTGTTGTCTGTATGCAGACGGTCACCTCTACCCTTGAGTTGAAAATTCATGGAACGTTCCATATGCAGAAATTGGCAGGAAACTCTGCAACCTCATCTCCCAACGGCCAGGCCTTGCAGAAACTCTACAAGTGTGCTTTGTGCTTGAAAGAGTTCCGTAACAAGCAGGATTTGGTGAAATTGGATGTTAATGGCCTGCCTTATGGCCTCTGTGCTGGATGCATGACCAGGAGCACCAATGGACAGTCTTCAGGCTTGACCCCACAGGAAGTTAACGAGAGACCATGTGGCAGTCTCAGGTGCCCAGAATGTAGTGTCAAATTTGAAAGTGCTGAAGACTTAGAGAACCATATTCAGCTAGATCACCGAGATCTGACACCCGAGACTAGTGGCCAAAGGAAGGGTACCCAGACATCCCCTGTTCCCAGAGTAAGTATTCTTGAAACATTATCAATTCTCATTTCATGGAACATAGACATTTCATGTAATTGAAAAATGATCTATTCAATTTAATATTAAAATACTGGTGCTGTAAAAATTTTAGTATCTCACAGAGTGAACTTTGCTATTACCCAGTCTTGCAGACTTCTGAGGTCTTTGTGGCAGGGCATCAAGGTTCTTATTATGGAACTGCTTTGAAATTGTCAGTAGAGAGGTGAAGTATGCTAATGGTAAATTTGGATGGTGCAGCTTTGGTTTGTGCTTGAATGCTGGTGCTGCTGTGTGGGTAGATCTGCAGCAACTGGAAATGCTTACATGGGAAAAGATATTCTCAATATCTAGAAAAAAGGAATCCTAAATATTTTCCTTCACCACATCTGAGGAATGAGCTTGATGGTAGGTTGCCAAGAGCCTTGTTTCGTTTGTGTAGCCTGGTGGCGTAAGTATCTGCTTTATTGAACGTGTTTATCTGGGGATCAAATGTGAGCAGAGAGAAGTGGGAGCTCAGAATAAAAAATGAAATCACCTCAAAACAATGCTTGGCGTCACCTAATTAGAGTCACTGGATGAAAAGGTAAGTTTTCTTTTATGTCCTTAAGAGAATGAATATTGGAAGCTTTCCTCTCCTGACTCAGGGTGGTGAGGGGAGGTTGCGTGTGTGTGTGCACATGCATGTATGAGAGAGAGAGAGAAGGCGAGAGTGAAACATTGAAAATCGAAGTGTTTCTTACAAACACTTTAAAAATAGACGGTATCTTTATGGATAAGGTTTTGGCCATGCCAGTACTCAAATATATATCTCAGATTATATTGCGCATGGATTAACTTGCAGCATTATTTTAAGTGGAACTGCTTCTTTCCCCTCTCTTAACACAAGGAGTTTTCTAATCAGAAAATTCCTGCAAAACATGAAGGTGGGAAAATTGAAAGAAAAGTGTTCTTCCTCAGTCTCTATAAGCAGGCTGCTATCCTGCTTCTCATGAGACTGATCTTCTCTCCAGTTCATCGTCTTTTCAAATTATTTGTCAAAATTTCAGTCCATGATTGGGTCAAATTATTTCTTATGCCGTGAAGAACAGATGGAATGAGAAGCGAATTTTGGAACTCTTCTCAGGAGACCAGTACCAGTCACACAAATGTTAATCACACCCCTCTGAGAATTTTAATTAAATATGATAGGGAGAAATTTTCAGAAGTGTCTGAGGGAGTTATACACCCAGCTCCTATTGAAAAATCCCTTTCATTGACTGTATCCTATGTCAGTCTGATAATTAAAGTACCCACGAACAGGTCTTGATGTTGTAGGCAGTAATAGGCTAGAAGATGCTGCTAGAGTAAACTGTGTCAGAAAGTCAGTAAATTTGAGAGGACCCCAAATAGGTGGTGGCAATTCTGATTGGGCTGAGCTCTGTTAGAGCTGTTACAATCTACATTGTCAATAAACTACAGATTGCATTAGTGTTCCAGCTTCAAAGACCCTGATACAATTTCAATTAAAATTTTGTTTGGTTTTGTTTGCTTTTAAATGAAACAACTGGATATTGTTCCCTCTGGGTCCAGTGAACATGTGATTAGCTGTGCTGTAATATACATCTAATTCTGCAGAGGAATAAAATAAGGAATGAAAATATTCGTCCCTTCAGTGTGATGCCTCTTGAGAGTTCAACTGAAACTCTGACTAGGTCACAGTCTTCCTTCTGCTTCTTTGCTCTTTATCTCCTTCTAAATTCTCTTAAACATTCTTTTATGTAGGACTAATTCCTATTTCATATGGCTGTGTGCACAGCCTAAAATATTATCTATTCTTTCCCGTCATCTCTCAGGAGTGGAATATGTTGCCATCTTCTGCTCTAATTTCTTGCTTTAACTCTCTCTTTTCAGTGAGAGCTTCCATACCTGTTCTCTCAGGGGAGAGTTTAAGTTCTTCAACAAGGTAAATGCTTTGAATTTCATCCCGTGAGGGCAGATTTTAGTTCCTTTGTATAAAATAATGAAAAATCAGCATTTATATGAACACCAAATAGCACCTGGACCAGGTGTCTTTGGCCTGCATGTACACCAGTGTCTGATACCTTTATGGTATGTACCCTAGGAGCAGAGACATTGTAATTTGGCGTAATTCATAATTTACCTTTAATTAGATCTACCATATTTGAATATTAATATCTTCTGACAAGTAACTACTGGCATTTCACTCTGGGAATTAAATGGGGTTTCTCAAGGTAATGCCATTTCGGTCTGTAAATATGTTTTTGAAGCATAAGGTTCTTCAAAGAATTATGTTCTTTTTAGAAAAGAATAATTTCCCATATTATTTTAAGAATACAAGTTTAACTTTACTTTTTTCAAAGATAACCAGGTTAGGCGGGTACAACAAAGTCTTTCTCTTGTAGTCTTCTTTTGGTATGCTGTACAATGGTAAAATATCATGTTTAAGTGTATACTACAAGCTAAGCAGTCTGCAGCTGTCCAAACAGGTTATTGCTCTATAATTCTTGACCACTCTACATTTTTTTAAAACTATTGATTTTTCTTTTTAACACAGACAAAAAGAATTGAGGATTAGAAAAATAAACAGAGAGAGAGCACACTGAAATTAAATTTAAAAATAGCACACATTTCAGTAAGCAAAAGAATGTGATGCTATCCCTTATGCAGGAAGGAAAAAGTAAGTACAGAATGTATAGGGTTCTGTAAATGCCAAGAGCATCCCACCTTTTGAATAGTTATACTATTCAAATGATACGAGTAAAGATGGGTGCCTTTAGGATATATTGGAAAACTTGAGAATTGAGGCAAACACAAGGGCAATGAAGTATAGAGTAAAAAAATAGATATATTAATAGCTGATGACTGGATGTGGGGGCCGAAGAGTACAGCAAGAGAAAGGGACCATTTCTAGCATTCCTTTATATGCATTTAAAGCTGCATTAGGACATTCTCCCCCTCTAAAGGGGAATATGAATAATTCTTTTCCTGTAGTCAATTTGGATGCTTCTGGTGATAGGTTTTTTTTTTTAAGTTGTTGGAGACACCTGGATAAGGACTTTATATCTACACAGCAACTTTGAGACAGTTGTTTTCTACCATCCCAAAACAGGAGAAAACATATATGCCTTACAAGCTAACAGTGGGTTTTCTTCCTGCTTGTCAGCTACCCTTAATATTTAAAACATCTGCAATCAAATCATCTCTCTATCTTTCTCAGTTATTTTAAAGCACCAATTTTGGTGATACCGAAGTTGGTGGAAAGGCTGAGGGATCTGGGACTCTTCAGTCTGAAAAAGCAAAGACTTAGAGGGGACTTGGTAGCAGTTTACCGCTACATCAAGGGCTTGGTGAACAACTGTTCACCAGGGCACCCTTGGGGGAAAACCAGGAGTAATGATCATAAACTCCTGGAAGATGGTTAGGAAAAACTACTTTACAACTAGGGTATCCAGACTGTAGAAAAAGCTCCCTCCAAAGGTGGTGCAATCGCCTACCCTGGAAATCTTCAAGAGGAAACTGTATGATCACCTTGCTGGGGTCACCTGACCCCAGTTTGTCTTTCCTGCTTGGTTCAGGGGGCTGTACCGGATGATCTTCCGAGGTCCCTTCCAGCCCTTACAATCTATAAATAAAATATCACATAGACTTATTTTGTCTATATCCAAATCCTAAATGGTATAAAGGTTTGCTTCCTGAACAAGGACATACCTACTTCAGAGAACCCATATTAATTATTTTCAAGGCATATTGAGCAGATTTTATTTGCAACAACACCAAGGGGACTAAAGAATGGTGGGATATTACTACTCTCTAACATATGACTTAGTTTTATGGTTTTTATAGTTCTGCTGGAAGAATTTCAGAGGCAGTTAAGGCTTAGGTTTTCTCTTCTAGGAATTTCCTGCTCTTGGATATGCCCAAGAATAGTAGGCTTTACTGTACTAGAGTCTATTCTGAGGTCTTGCAGACTTGCTGCACATGCTCATTTAAGCTCTTTTTGTTCAATCATGGATATATTAGAATTAATACATCCGTTTTCCATTAAAATATGTATATCAAGTCACAGTTTAGCTGAGATGGCTCCATTTTTGAATATGCATTGGTAGGCTCTTCAGACACATTTGCTGGAAAAACAACTGTGTCTAATGTTTCCAGCCAGAGGGGCATGCCTGGCTGGTTTAGTTTTGAGGCAGATAATGTTTGAGTGTATATTTTAATACTGTAGAAAATAACTTTTCAGATTCAACTTGAGTTCTTTATAGCACAGATTAATCATTATTCTAAAACTGTAATTATAATGATTGGCAGTTATTAACATCAACACTAGCAATTCAAGCAGTCAAGATACCAGTTCAGTTGCCATCTTAAGTCACATTGCTTTATTTAACCCACTCAAGTTAGTTGTGCTGAGGGAATAAATGAGGGGACCCAGAAAGTCGGGTGAATTAAACCTGTTTTCTGCTTCATCACCCAGCTCTCTCTCTTGCCCAGATCCTTTGAGATCAATTTCCTTTCTTCAGTTTTTCTATCTTACCTTGTGAATTGAATGGAGAAGTGTTTTCACTTCTTGTGAAAAAGTAGGATACTATTTTCAGGTAGTTGCCTGGAAATTGCATGGGAACAATAGCCATTTCTGAAAATAAACCAGGGCCCTATCATCTCTCTCCACCAATATTATAGTATTGATGTTATTCCATGCCAAAATTGGAATTAAATACCATGACTACTCAGTTGAACCTCTCTCTCTCTCTTACTTACCTTGTCTCTTATGTCACCTCAGTGTTACGTTAGCTACCCTTCAACAGCTCTTCAGACTGCAACTTTCTTCAAGTAGAGTTTTTCAGTTGTTTGTCACCACTTCTAATCACTGAGTTCAAAACTTTTCAAATGTCAAAAGAGACATCAGAAGAAACAAATAGAAAGATTGTGGAATCAGTTTCCCACAAGAATAGTAGTGATAGGTCCATATTGATGTTCTGAGTAACCTATTTCTGTTTGTGTTTAAAAGATCCATACTGACATAAACAAAAGCATTTTTAAAGGGAATTGGTAATTTACTTTAAAATACTCTAGCATAGGTTTAGGTGATTATCAAAATATGCATCTTGGGTGGCTTACGCAAAGCTCGTTTCTGGTTTATTCTAATTCATGCAGAGTACTACGTGACAAACTCGACTACCACAGTTGTACCGCTTGCACACTGATGTGTTTGTCAGTTGAAGCCAAGGAGAGACCTGACGTGGAATTTGAAATTTCTTGATCCAAGGGATAATCTCTCCAAATTGGGATTGTTGTATGTTGATAGGGTGACATTGTATGTGTGCACTAACTGTGCAGTGTCTGTTCTGTGGATAAATGATGAGTTCTGGGTTTGTTGGTATCCAGCTTTCAGAAGCCCTAAAATTCATGAGAAGAATGTCAAAAGGCTTGTCTACACATACCAATTTAAAGCGCTTTAGCCTGATTTTAAAGCACCACATTAAAAGCATGTGTCAACATGTGCACACCTTTAATGTGCCTTAAAAATGGCAATTTTAGGCCATTTGTGCCTAAATTTGATACCTGCAAAAGCAAATAGCTAGAGTGCATTAATGCATGTGTAGACACATTAAGGTGCATTAACACTGTGTATGGACTGACTTGGGACTAACGTTAGTCCCACGTCAGTCTGCGCACATGGCGCTAATGAGCTTTAACACATCCACGTGTAGATGTGAGCCTAAATCACCTTAATGTGCATTAAATTTAGACATGCCTAAATGCACATGTAAACATGCCCAAAGAGTGCAACTGTCAGTGTTAATACATTTTTAAAGGTTTGGATAGAGAGTTGAGCTGAAACACAGTCTTCATTAATTAGTGAATTCATTGGGGAAAGTTTTTAGGTAGCAGTGGTCACGTCTACATGTGATATAAGTGTGATGCAATAAACTAATGCAGTTTGTGCCAGACTTTATTGCTCCCATGTGTCACGTTTACATATGTGCCCAGGACCACAGCACATTGAACCAAGTTGTAGTAGCGCCAAATGGCAGGAGCCTCAGGGGGTCAGCCTTCTAGCCCAAGGCTGCTCTTACCTGGCTCAGTGTGCTACAGAGGGGCTGGCTGGGGCGTGAAGGTGCTCCAATGTGGGATTAGCCAGCAGGTAGCCCCTGCACTGAAGTGCCCCCGCCAGCCCTATCAGTGTCTACACATGTGTTAGGGTGCACTAAATAACACTGTTACAAATAAACACAAGTACTATCCTATGGCAGTGTTTATTAGTTTACTGTGGCCTAATAGGGCTGCATGTGTAGGCACTGAGACTTTAATGGGGAGCTAATTAGTCAGCTTGGCAGTAAATGTCTTGTGTAGACACGCCCAGTAAGTCTAAACCAATAAAGGAGATTTAGATAGCTTCAGAGTTTGGGAAGGTTTCCCCTTTTGAAAGTGAGCTGTGATTTTTGCTAAGTTTTTCACCAGTGTGTGTATATGAATGTATGAGTATGCATGTCTGTATCTGTGCACTTGTGCTTGTGTGCTGAGCTGGACTCCTAGAAAGCAGTGCTTCAGACATCAGCCTCATATTTTATTTACAGGGAATACCTTCTTGAGCCAGCTGATGGTCTATAACCAATCCAAACTATTTCCCTATTGGCTGGCTATGTTAGTTTACAGCTGATGGCATGTTGCCTTTTTGCCATAATCATATTTTCTGTCCTGGTCCACATTTTAACCAAACATAGTGGTTTGTATACCAGTGGGTATACAAACACATATACAAACTACATAAAATAATACCATACTGTGTTTGTTAATCTCCATCTCCAACCTGTTGCTGTTGATAAGATGTGAAATAGCAAAGATGTTATTGGTAACAACTGGTCTTTCTGTCCTGGGCCAGTATTCAAAAACATTGGTTCTCATATGCTGGGGGCGAGGTAGCAAGCTTAAACTTATTATTGATGCATCAGAAACTTGAATCTACACATGGGCTTGATGAGAGGAATTCAACAAAAAACAGTGTAAATGTAAACATTTAAAACAGAAAATTAATTGCTTTAATTAACTAGAAAGTAGGATTCTTGCCTTGGGTTTATCACTCCTGATGACTTGCATTCTCAATCATGCAGCTGCTAGCTGACAATATGGTCTTTTTGACTATGGCTTACTTCATTCTGGGGCCATGCACTGCAGCTGTAGAGCTGGAGTGTTCGTGGGATAGTGTGACAAAAGATGACTGCCAGGATGTAATTGTTACCTCCCAATAAACTTTATGCAATGAAGATCTTGCATTATTAGACTGCACATGAATTATCCCTCTAGCTCAGTGAACCTCAGCCTTTTAGAGTGGCATGCTAGGTGCTTATGACCTGGGTGTGTCACTGGCCACTACTCCCTTCCAGTAGGAAGCGGAGAGAGAGAGAGTGAATGAGTGTGGGGGGGGGGGGGGGG